GTATTTAATTAATTAATACTTATACAACTTAATAAATTAATTTCAATAAATTAATCAAAATAAAATTTAAATATAATATCTCTGAAATTATAAGATAACTATAATAGAAAAAATTAGTTGTTTAAATACATTTGTATATATAGGATGCAGATTTTCTTCATCCTTTTGATCTAATAAATTGATTTAATAAAGCATCAACTGAGCTAAGGGCCACCGAGGCAGAATATGATTCTGGAGTCCCTCATATGCTTGATCATTGCATATTTCTCGGTTTAATGTTATATAATGGAAAAGGCCTGCGCTACATAGCAGACAATTGGAGTATGTTTGATTATTAATAAGCTTGTACAATTTATAAGAAAAAATCTAAATTTTAGACCATCAATGAAAATATTAAAAATAAGATTTACAAAATATGACTTGGTTTTTAAACGAAAATTAATGTAACGTTACTTTTATTTAAAAAAAATTTTATAAATTTTAAATTGATACCTATAAATTATTTTCAAATTCATTTAATAAACACATAAACTTAAGATATTCTAGTATTACATTATATACATTAGATAAATTAATTTACAATTATTTGTAAATTGTCTAATTGTAAATTGTCTGATTTAAAAAAAGCTTTAAAAATAAAATGAAAATGAAAAATTAATAAAATTAAAATAAAGATGACTTGTAATTTGATTTGATTCGAAATTTGAAATTTGATGAAGCTTTTATTTAAATTTGATAATTAATTAAATTTTTAAAACTGCTAATATTAAATAAATTACAATTATATCACATTACAACCAATACATTTTAAAATCTCCTTGTTCATCAAATTTTTGATTATGTGATGAAAATTCATCAATGTCATGAAAATTCATCTAATCTAACTACTATCTAAAACCACTTTTTCAACAATTACCCTTATAAACATTTAAAATTAAATTAATCTTAGAATAATTTATAATTACACCAATGATGATGATCTAATAAAAGATGAATTTAATTAAGATTGGCATTTTTAAATACTATAAATAAATATTATTTAGCCTTATATCATAAAAATTATTAAATTGGAATGGAAATTAAAGCTAAAAACAAAAATAAATAATTATTAAAATATTTTTAAAAAATAATCAGTTATCATTTAATTTTTATTAGTAATATCAAGACTTTAATAATTTTTATATATAACTAGTAATACATAGTAGAAACTACATATACATGTATAATTAAAAAAATAAATACATATTGTAATTTATTATTACTTCCAGGATCTCCGTAATATCAGATTGCTGGAAGGCTTATTAAATCATTTTATTTAAAATATTTCAGGTAGACCTTTCACTTAATCATAATTTTATTTTTTTGATTGAAAAATTTACATATCTCGTATTTTGATTTATAAAAATCTGATTATAGATTACAATAATATGATAAATAATCAGATAATTTTCGTTAAGTGGACAAAATCAAATTCTTTAAAAATTTATATCTAAATAATACCATATACATAGATGAATTTTTTAATTTAATTATGTATATAAATTTATTTATATAAAATACCTATATGATCTAATTAAATTCACAAAATTATTTAAACAATAATATTATACTTATAACTAGAAAGAATAATTATAAGCACATTTTATTTTCATAATATAATTAATGTTTGATAACTTATAATAAACCCTGAAAAATATAAGGTACAATTTTTGCATTTAAAAATTATATTCGCCTTAAAATTTGAAAAAAATGAACGGCAATCAATTTATTATAAGAGATTCTTGCAGATTAAGAAGATAGTTCACAAATAAAACAATTTGATATGCATAAATGAATTAAAATAATTATTTTGGTAATTTATATGAAATGAATTGGTTTTATAAAATTTGATTTTAGTAATTCAATACTAACTAACTATTAAAAATATATAAAAATTTACCCAAATATGTATTAGTAATATTTAGTTATATTTAATGAAAGTAAATTAGTAAACTAAAAGAATAAAAATCAAGAAAAAAAGATGGCTAAATCTAATAAGAAAACTAGAAGTTTAAAAAAGATTATTTATCTTTTTATTAATTAAAATAAATATTTTTTATATTTTTAACGGGAATACAAGATTGAACATATTTTTAAAAATTTGAAAAAATTGCAAAAACGGTTCACGAGTTTGAGAAAACATTAAAGAGTCTGGCTCCGTTTAGTCTAAAAATGTGAATAAACTCATAATTGATTAAAATAATAAAAATTTAATAAAAATAATTTTAAACTTGTTTTTAAATACGATTTCAAATTTATATTAAATAAAGTTAGTTAAAAATAATTTATTCTATATCAACCACACGATCATAAGTTAAATAATGTTGGAAATTCAAGTCATAATTAAATTTTTAATGCTAAAATATAAGAAGTAATTCGAAAGAATTGAAAATTTCTTCTAAAATGCGTCATAATATCCATGAAAGTTTAATTATGGAGGAAGTAAAATTAAAATATTATTTGAGTAATTTTTTGTTAATTAACCAATTTTTGTTAAATAAATGTACAGGGTGTTTCAACTAAGAAATACTATTTGAAAAATCCATAACTTTTTTCTGCGTTGACAGATTTTAATGAAATTTGGTATTTTATATCTATATTTTCTAGCATTTTTTTTTGACATAAAAATTTTTTCGAAATTCGAACCCTAACCCTGTATTTCAATTTCGTACTCTACCGTTCTCTTTTTTTTCTCTTCGCATTGCATGCTATCTTACTTCATTTATTTTCCTGCGTATGGCGAAGAGTGGATACTGTATTGAAAATGTAGTGGCTATCGCCTAGTGTTTACTCTAGTGTCTGTCTCCCCTTACAACAAATAAAGGGAAGTAAGAATGCATGTGCGGAAAAAGGGAAAAACAGAACGGTAGAGTACGAAATTATCTCGGGGTAGGGTTCGAATTTAGACATAATTTTTATGTCAGAAAAAATGCTATAAGATATAGATATAAAATACAAAATATCTATAAAATCTGTCAACTTAGTAAAAAGTTATAGATTTTTCAAATAGTATTTCTTAGTTGAAACACCCTGTATATTACATACAATATTAAAACCAAGTTTATAAATTTATTGAAGGAAGATTTTTATAAACAATAAATTTTGTTAAAATAACCCATATGATGAATAAATAAATTTTTAAAAATATAACATCAAAAATATAACATCGCACAGCTCGATAATGAGGTTTTCATTTTTATTTTCGCCTTTCGTTTTTAAAATCCCATACATCTTTAGTTTTTATAATATAAGTTTGTATTTGAGTGGAAAAATAATCTAGTTGGAAAAGTTATTCAATGGAAAACGCATAGTTATACTAAATAATAGCCCATCTGGCTAACTCACGGAACGGCAAATCGCGGAACGGCAAGTCATCGAATTACCAAGTCACGGAATGAGCAAAGCATGGTACGATCAACTTATCGAAATTTTTTGAAGAATCTGAATATTTTTAAAGACTCAGAATTTTTTGAAAATTAGAATGTTAAAAAACAGAATACAAAAAATTATGAAAAATTCTAATTTTTAAAAATATTCCGTATTTTGGTCTTTAATTAAGTTGATCGATACGTGATTTGGTAATCCAGTGACTTGTCATTCCGTAACTTGCCTGTTACGTGATTTGGAATTCCTCGAGTTAGCCCCTACCCAATAGTTGTGACTTGCAAAACTATAAAAAACTGGTTAAAAAACTGGTAGAAAAGGACAGGTTAAAATTCAACTATCATTACATCTCTAACAAATTCGAATTCTTCCTTTACTATTAATCTTTTGTCGATTCATTCCAATGCTCCCAATAATGAGGATCATCATCTTCGGATGTTTGAAACAAATTATTTGTTCGGTGGGATGTTTTGAATTGATGTGTATCTTCATTAATTTCATCGGAATCATTTTCATCAACAGAATATTTTTCTTCATTTGTTTCTTCAAAATTTTTAACATTGCTAGTAAAACGCTCAATGATTTCTTTAATAGTTTCCTCTGTCACTATAATTTTATGTTTATTCTTTTCTATTTTTTCTAGAAGCATCGTTAGATTCTCTTTCACAGATCTTTTGCTTTAGAAATATAATTTATATGTATTATTAAAACTTTATCAAATAAGATTTTTTTTATAAAATTTGGTATTTAAGATGAGAGTCCAAGGCACGGAACGGACACGAATCAGATGTGGGTCGGAATTCCGACAGTTCCGGCCCACTTCTAACACAAACAACAAAACACAGTATTATCAAAACTACGTCCAGATATAAAATCATCATTTTCATTTTAAAAGTATTCTGATTTGCAAATTCTGATTTTTTAATATTCTGTTTATAAACATTTTTTTGATATCGGAAAATCATTTTTTGATATCAAAATATTTTTAAAATCATACAAGAAATAATTATTTCTCTTGACCATGCTTTTTGGTACATAATACCGTGTTTTGTCTGTTCCATGTTTTGGAATTTTGTTTTGCCCCTCACTCGAAAAAAAAACAATTTTATTTCACTAGAATTTTTTCCTTTACAAAAAATAAGAATTCTAAAATTCGTTTATCTTGTGTAATAAATGAAGTAAAATCCGCATTTATATTCCTATATATCTACTTAAATAAGTATAGTCTATTTATCTAGGTATATATTTACGATTTAATGCTCTTTGTATCGTAAACACAAATTCCATGTGCAGCCAAAACAAACTGAATAAAACGGAGCTGAATTCGTAAATATTTGAACAAACTATTTGTAGACACTTCGCCATATTCGTATAATGCGATTATTCCACGAATATACTCATGCTAAAATATAGTTATAATAGTTATAATTTATTTTTTATTAGTGAAAAAATTTCTAGAAATAACGTGCTGAAATTAGATTGTATGGATAATTATTGGCAGAATTATCAATTAATTGGTAAAAATTTTGTCAAAATAAGGAATCATTTGAAACATTTGTTAAAATTGTATTTTTACTTTACCAATTAACCAAACTGAACAGATCCAGATTCTTTTCCCTTTTTACCTTATATTCCTCATTTTCGAAGCGATTAAACCATCGTTCGCGAGGAGAATTTTTTGCCTGATCGCATGCAGCTTTGAATATTTTATTGTTCTTCAAATATAATTTAATCAACGCTTTTTGTGTGTTTTCACTTGGAAAAATTTCTTTTGACTTGTTACCAGTACAGTTATTTTTCTTTCTTAGTTCACTCAGATTTTTTTGAATTTTACGGTCATATCTTTGTTGGTAAGACGACCCTTCTCCTTTATTTTGTGAAGACCCACCCATAAAAACAAAACTCCATAATAATGCATTGATGAATAAAATAATTAAAATGAAAATAAATTTCATCTTAAATTTTTGTTTTAGTTGATATATTAAGATAAAAAAATTTGGTTGTGTTTTAGTAATCACTCTCAGGGAGCTAAATATGAATAGCTCCCCTCAGAGAGTTAAAGGGCGCTATTCTTAGCTCCCCTCATGGAGCTAAATCTGAACAATAGCACTCTCAGGCAGTGCTGGGTATTTGCCATTTGTTGGCTCCGGCTCCGGGCTCCGGGGTTTCAAAATCTTGGCTCCGGCTCCGGGCTCCGGGGTTTCAAAATCTTGGCTCCGGCTCCGGGCTCCGGGGTTTCAAAATCTTGGCTCCGGCTCCAGCTCCGGCTCCGGAGCCGGCGATTTTCGGAGCCGCTCCATGTTGGCTCCGGGCTCCGGGTGGAAAATCAATGAATTATTTTATTGGGTGATTTGGGTAGATAAAGGGGGATATCGAGTGATATAAGAGGATTAAGGGGTTATCAATAAATTGGGTGGATTATCGTGTTATTTAGGTGGATTAAGGGCTATATCGGGGGGATTAAGGAGATTTGGATCCAAAAATCTTCATTTTTTGCGCCGCAGGCGAAAATTTTGAAATTTTTGAAAATCCCTAAGCTAAAAATCTTCGTTTTTTTGCGCCGCAGGCGAAAATTTTGAAATTTTTAAAATCCCTAAGCTAAAAATCTTCGTTTTTTTGCGCCGCAGGCGAAAATTTTGAAATTTTTGAAAATCCCTAAGCTAAAAATCTTCGTTTTTTTGCGCCGCAGGCGAAAATTTTTAAAATTTTGGACGAGTTTTAAGCCAAAAATCTTCCTTTTTTGGCGCCGCAGGCGAAAATTTTGAAAAAAATAGACCAAAATTAATCAATTTAAAAAATTTATCAAGCTTTATTTAATAAAAAAATCTTTATTATAATTTATTTTCCAAATAAAAACAATTATTTAATTATTTGTTGTGATATTTTCGAACCTATAATTGGATAAAACTCGGAACATAACTCACTATCCATTCAACCACAACCACTTTGAAAACAAAAGGAAAGAAAATCGTTTTTACCCGTCTCAATTTTCTCTTCCTTTCTTTTCACGCCTACCATCTTTGCTTACCTCTTTTTCTCTAACCCATCTTTAGGGGTGTATAGCCGGAGCCGTGGGGAATTGAAAAACCTTGGCTCCGGCTCCGGGCTCCGGGGTTTCAAATTCTTGGCTCCGGCTCCAGCTCCGGCTCCGGGGTTTCCAAAATCTTAGCTCCGGCTCCGGCTCCGGCTCCGCCGGAGCCGGCTCCGGAGCCGGGCTCCGGAGCTAGCTCCCGGAGCCATACCCAGCACTGCTCTCAGGGAGCTATTTGTTTTTGGGAAGAACAAATTCTTCGATTTAATTTTATGAATCTTTTGGCATAAAATTATTAATAAATTTATTAAAATTTATTGGAGGTAGAAAATCCTCTGTAAATAGGAAAAAATTTTTTTCAATAAAAGTTTTCAGGGTATTGACTGCCTTAAGAAATTTTTAATTTTATGAATCTTTTGGCATAAAATTATTAATAAATTTATTAAAATTTTATGAATTAAGGTTAATGCTATTAGGCTATATGTTTATAAAATTGTGAGCTTGTCAGCCGATGATTCTCATTTTATCATTGACATAAAAATTTCTTAACGGAGTAAGAAATAAATAATTTCGTAAATTGTGGAGGTTGACAAAAAAGATAAAAATGAGTGCATTTCTTTCTCGTGTTAAGCATGTCAAGTTTTATTATTTATTAAGCGCTTAGAAAATAGGGCAGAGGAGGAACTTTAATAGCATTGCAGATTTTCTACAGATTTGTACGATTTATACACAATTTTTCGAATTTGTTCGATAATATTTCACATGAAAGGCAAAAATTTTTACCTAAAGCACTAAAAAGGAGGTGCGGATTTAATAAAGTTTATCAAGGGAAGGCGTATTACGTAATTACGTAATACGTAAATTTTGGCGTAAATTTTGGCCTTGCGTTGTCTTTCTATCATTGAACCAAATTTTCAGTATTTGTTCAATTTTCCTAAAGTGTCGGGAATCCATGAAAAAAAGGATTATCCATTTTCGTTTAAAATTAAATGAGTTATAGACAAAACAAAATCGGCCGCTAATTTGCCGCACACAAACAAAATTTATATTAATTAATTTAATTTATTATTATTTTCAATATTTAATAATTAATTAGATTTGTTAAAAAAATACAATTTATTATTTTATTTTTGTTTTTCTTCTTAAAATGTTTATAATTTCAGATTAAACGCTTCATTTAATCTCCTTAATCTTCATTACTATCAGGTTTCTCATTAAGATCAAATGGATATATATTTAAATCAATTTGATTTATGCCATTTTTAGCGATTTTATTTGGATCTTCTACAATAATTTCATTTTGCTCTTCCACATAATTCTCTCCATTTTCCTTATTACATTCTCCTTGCTCCACATCATCGGAAATATAATTTCTTTCAACAAATTTTAAGCTATCTTCCCAAACAATCGGCTCTTTTCCTTTATTTTCATAATTATCAGTCTGTGGATTAACAAATGAATTTTCCTTCACATTATCAGATTGAATATTTTTTAATTCTGAATTTTCTTTATTAATAGTTTCCCTTTCATTTTTCTTTTTTAGATAGAATTTTCGATTATATTCTCGCTTTTTTTCTTTAAAATTTGGGTTATTTTCCATATTATTTTTAAACCAATTTCGCTGATATGCGTGTCTCTTATCTTTATTAATTTTATAATAACTTTTCCGATTTTCCAGAAGCTTTTCTTTATTTTGATGATAATAATCTTTGTTATATTCTTTTTTATTAAACTTTTTTTGTCCTTGTAGGAAATGTTTCCTATATTTTCGGGACTCCTAATTAATTAATACAACGTTTAATAATTTATTTATTTCGCAATGAAAACTACAATTAATTTAACAAGGGAAAAAGCATAATATTTTTATAATAAAAGGGACAGATTGTGATCCAAAGAGAGCTTAATGACCGCTGAGATAGATAAAACGGGGGAAAAGCCAGCTATTTTTATAGCGGTTGATTTACAGGAAAGTATTTTGTAATAAGTTTGTGTGAGAAAGTGAATAAAGAATTTCAGTGATTAACAGATTTCGTAATTTCATAAGTTTAATTAAATGAGTAATTCGCAGGATGCGACACTCCCGCGGCAAACATTGAGTGAATGGGTTGGATATTGAATAATGGGAGATAACAAAATATTGGCTGGATGTTGAATAAACGGAGAAGATTAGGAATGGGCCAATTTGGGTTTACATTGTTATAAGTAGTTATAATGCTTGGCAAAATAGGGGGGACCGTAAATTTAATTGAGTTTAATCGTGGAATGTGTGAAATATTTCTTTTCTTAAATTTCTTATTCTTCTGTAATTTTGACAATTGATTTTTTGTTATGGAGGAGGCTGGAAGGCGTTCAACACAGCCAGAAGGGAGAACTCGAACACGACTGATTGGGAATTTGATTGGAGAGCTGGGGGGAGGCGGTGGAGGATCCAAAATCATTTTCAGTTTCGAAGGAGCATGCGGTTGTGGCTTTGTAGTCGGAATATTTTGTGTTTGATGTTTGTCAGTAGCAACAGGCGGGGAAGTGGGTAGATCATGAGAGTCCAATTCTGTTGTGGGGGAAGTCGGACGTGGAGATTTGTCTGATGGAACATCACCTGGGGGGCCTGAAGATTTAATTAGTCCTTTTCTTCTAGGCACATTATCTGTGGGAACTGAAATTTTTATTTCTAACTTATTATTTTCAATGGTCTTCAGTGGACCGTGTTTTTGATTAATTATATTTGGAGGAATGGGACTCATGGGATTTTTAATAGGATCGGGGCTAAGTAATTGATTTTGATTGTCGTCTATTTTTGGGCAAATTTTAATTGAGCTATAGATTAATCGTGACTCTTCGGGCATTAAGGATTTACTTTCGCCTTTTTTATTTAAGTGGCCTGATTTGGTTTCGGTTTTTAAAGAATAATTAAAAGACTTTTTAGTATAAAATTTATCCGACAATTTTATTAATGATAAGGGGATTGGAGTTATTGGAGGGGGTGTGCTTGGTGTTATTTGTGAGTGATTAATTGTATGTTGCTGGGGAATTTCTTGTTGTGGTGATATATTGGGTTCTTCATTACAATCTTCGTCTATGTAAGGTTCATTTCTTTGTTGATTAAATAATTTCGGGCAGAGTGCTCTGGGATGTAAATTATGACATTGGGTACATGTAAGTGGTCTTTGACACCTTCTCGCAATATGATTGGGTTTATAACAATTAAAACATAAATTTTTCTCATATAAGCGGGATTTGCGAGAATGGATCGAGGTATAGTTATGGCAAAGGTGGGATAGATGATCGGGTTGGTTACAGAAAATACAGGGGAATCTAAACATCCCTGTTTTATTGTTTTGTTGAGATGTATAAACTGTTAGGGAGGATTGTGGTGTGTTAGGTGGGCTAATCTGTCTAACGGGTCGTGGTGATTTTTGAATACAAGAATGACTTATCTTTTCGTTTAGCTCCTTCTTTTGGTCGTCTAGGGCTTTTATTCCTTCCTTTCTTTTTAGTATTTGCTTTAGTGTTGTGCGTAGTTGATCAGTTTGCCAGTTTTCTCCAAAGTCATCTTTGGCTTTAAATATCTCTTCTAAAATAGGAGGTGGAAGTTTTGATTCTAATTCCATTTGGACGGAGAGCGTGTTAATATCAAATTCCTGTTCAATCATTTGTAAGTATAATAGTTCGAATTGGTCTACGAATGATCGTAGTTCCATACAAAGATTTTCAGGACCATTATTTGAATGTACTGTAGGTAATTTTCTTATTGAATGGAGAAGGGTCCTATTTATTTCATCGGAATTTCCATAATTTTCTCTTAGAAGTCGGATTGCCTCATGATAAGAAGCATTGGTTAAAGGAAGGGATTTTATCAGTAAATATGCGGGTCCATCTAAACATTCCTTGAGATAATTAAATTTAACGGCATCGGAAAGATCTGGAATGTCGTGGACACCAACTTTAAATGAATTCCAAAAGGATGTAAATTCAACACATTTTCCATTAAATTTGGGAAGAGAGAGTTTCGGGAGGTGAAAATGTGTATTTGTGATTTGGGAGGGATCGGGAAGAACTTCTGTTAATTTAGCCTTTTCAGAAAGGAGTTTACGGGAATATCTCTTTAAATCTCGTAGTATATTAAGGAATGGAGTTTCTGTAGTAAATGCTTCGTATATCGGGTTGTCGGCTTGGCGCTCTGCGCCTGTCATACTGGTACGGACTGTCATCCATCTTTCGTGGGCTGAGGTTATATCTGTGATTGTTTCGGATACATTTCCCAATTCTAGTTCTAGGGATGTAACGAGGGAGCGAATATTTGAACGGTGGAGGGAAATGCTACCTGTTTGTTCGGGGAGATTAAATTCTTTTTTATTTTCCAAAATTTCGGTAGCGTCTTCAGCAAGGAGCCGCAATGCATTGCGGAAAGGTACTGACATTTTTCGGGTTTTCGATCCGGCTGAGCTGTAGGAAATGTTTCCTATATTTTCGGGACTCCTAATTAATTAATACACGTTTAATAATTTATTTATTTCGCAATGAAAACTACAATTAATTTAACAAGGGAAAAAGCATAATATTTTTATAATAAAAGGGACAGATTGTGATCCAAAGAGAGCTTAATGACCGCTGAGATAGATAAAACGGGGGAAAAGCCAGCTATTTTTATAGCGGTTGATTTACAGGAAAGTATTTTGTAATAAGTTTGTGTGAGAAAGTGAATAAAGAATTTCAGTGATTAACAGATTTCGTAATTTCATAAGTTTAATTAAATGAGTAATTCGCAGGATGCGACATCCTCCATCATTTTCAATTGGGCCTTTTTCCGTAATTTTAGGGTTTGGCTTTAAGGTTTCTTTATATTTTCGAAGTTGTGGAGCAACCGACGATTCAGCCCCATCAATAAATAATTTTACTCGCTTCTGTGACGAATAATCATTTTCAGCATTAATTGCTAAACCTTTATGTTTTCGAGTATTTTTAACAGAATTAATTAAACTCAATAATATCGAATTGGAAATTAAAAAGATTAAAACACTATCAAGTTTCATTCTAAATTAATTTCTAAAAAATTATTAAATAATTAATTTTATATAATAATTAAAAATTAAAGGGAATAAAAATAAAAAAAATATTTCATAGTGTAGTAAAGGTCATTATTGTCAAATATAATGTCAAAATATTAAAGCTGGATAAATTATGAAATCTCAAATGACATTTTCTTAGATGTTTTTAAGTGCATTTTATAATTGTCTATGAAAAGAGATTTCGACATGATATTTAGCAATAATGTCCTTTTACTCCATAATGAAATTAGGGTTGGGGGTCCGGTCCGAAAGATCCAGTCTGGCATCGAATTTTGGCCCGAAAATGAAACGGTCGGCCCGACTCGAAAACAACAACCCTATATGAAATTTATTTGTTTTGTAAAAAGTTCCGAGTGTCCCTTCAAATTTCAAATTAAAAGTATTGTTTTTAAATTAATAAAAATGTTAATTTTAAAAAAGTAATATTTTTTATAATATTTTTCCAAATGATTCAGCGTTCGCAATATTTCACCTCAACAATAAAGATAAATAGTCTGATTATTATTTTATGACAATTCTAATGACAATTTCACATGCATTTTTAAAATTTTAAAAAAATAATGTAAAAACAAATAAAAATTCATTGAAAAGAAAGTGCATACGGAAAACAGCTGGCAAATTATTGGGAAACTAAATAAATCATAATTATTCAAAGGATATGGATATTGAGAAAGTTTTTCGCTTTTCAGGGAACTATCAATATAGCATCGTTTACAATGGTGTTAGTCGAAAATTTTTCCGATTTCAGCCCTGAAAATCGAAAGCAATAGGGGTTAATGCTTATTTTCTTTAGGTGAATACTTTTTTGGAACTTTAAAAAATACTCCTTCAATAACATTTAACTTTAATTATTTAATTAAAAATTTTAACAATTTCAATCTCCCTTTAAGGAATATTTGTCTGTCTTTTACTCAACTCTAAAAAATAAAAAGAGGTAAATTCTAATATGTATAACATTCTGTCTGTTGACATAGCTGATTTTATTATTTTAGCTGATTTTATTATTTTCTATTATCACAAAATTTATTACGAATTTTATATTTTTACAATTTTTATTTAAACATTAAAAAATACATATTTTTATTGAATTATTGTGTATTTATTTGTGAACGTTTAAAAATGGCATTTCTATATGGCGTGTTTGTTAAAATACAAATAATAGGGTTAAGTACAGGTGTTAAATGAAAAAGAAGATATATTAATATACGAATAATGTTGGTTGTTGTATTGTTTATTTTTGAAAAACTTAAAATAAATGAAATTCCTGCCTGATCGACGAATGGTATGACAGCCTAAAAATTATTAAAATTTTTCAAATATTTTTCTCAAACAAAATTTCAGTTAAAAAGCCTATCAAAATAATCAAAACTCTTGTTAATTGTTTATTCAATCTTTTTAAATTTCCATCAAAATTAGTGTTTAGATTGACATATTTAACCATTTTGAATCCACAAATAATTATTATTAAATATGCAGACATTTTGATGAAGACTAATGGCAAATTTGCCAAAAATGTCGTCTTAATAAAATATATTTTAGATGTTAGGAATTTAATTTAAAAATTAACCTCTTCCGTTTTATATTGAATAAAAGGCCAAGTTTTGTTAAAATTATCGAAATATTTAATTCCTCCATTAGAATATGGATCAAAAAAGAAAGACAGGTAAAAAATATACATGGAAGTCAAAAATATGGCAATAGAAAAAATATATAAATAACGACGAAAATTAATTTTCATATTCCTTTTAAATATTTAAGGAGAAATTTTTAAATAAAATTTTTGCTCATTTACCTGTTTAATACTAAATATCTATAAATAAATTGAACACACAATCCGTACAAATTTAAATTACCAAAATATATCCAAAATGTTAAAACAATATAGCATACAATTGGATCAAAAACTTTTATAAGACTAAGCAAAATTCCATTAGAAAATATCACAACTGAATTCCCTTCTGCATCAAGTAAATAATACTATAATTAAGATAATTAAGTATAGATTAGTTAATGTAGATTTTAGAGAGAAGATCCAGAGTCCAGATCAAGGCATTTTTCAGAGTTCCTTGATTTTTCTTTGACATTGATGTCCCTTGACTCAAGGTCAAGAATCTTGTCAAGGTACCCAACCGAACTCAATTCAAGGAGCATGGTCAAGTTTTTTGAAAATCTCGCTCTCTAGTACATATTAAATAAACTGTTTTCATAAATATTCTTGTATAACTGATTATTTTTATTAGATTTTGACATTTTTGTCCGATTTTTAATTAAAGCTTAAATAATTTTTAATCGCTAGGCACAGGTAAATAAATGCCCGTTTGACCAATTTATACTTAATTGTCAGCAAAAAGTTTAAGCATTTTTTCCCTTTTTAGAATTTTTTTGTGTTATTTTTTTGTGTTTTTTGTATTATATGTAAATAGGGAGTCAAAACTCCGCGCTCTGCGCGGAGTTTTGAAGCACGCCTCGCTGGGAGTTTAAAAGAACCGACAACTCCGCTGAAGTTATCTTCTGTTCCTCCACCTATATTATCTTTCTTTATATCAACCCCTATATCAAAATTAAACTTTACTCATCAATAGCATTATTTAAAAAAGTTTTTTTAATTTCTAGATAGTTTTGAAATTTAATTTTAATTTATTAAATTTAAAATAAAAATTTTAAATTGAAAAATTCGATAGTTGCACTCTATAAAAATTCTCTTTCTCAATCTTGGCAAGAGAAAGCTCTGCCATAGACATGCCTTTTAATTAACTCGATCAATTTTCAGACGCAAGCTTTAATGAGAGCCTCGAGCTTTGACTACGAGCTTTGAGGAGAGGGAATTTAATAAACAGGCATATGCTAAGTGCAACACGTGCTACATGGGCATTTAAAATTAAAATTTGTGGGGGAGAGGAGGAGAGGAGAGAGGTGGAGGGACTTCGATTGGGAGAGATTTTAAAGAAGCGCGCGGGTATTGCCTATACATATTAAATCCCGGTTCAAACTTATTCTATATCTCAACTCAAACTTGTTCAAACTTTTGGTGTTTTTAGACTCAGCTCGACGAGCTTTTTCGAATGAGCTATTATTTGCATATTTGAATTTTTCACACTAAGATGGAGCTTACTCCCCCCGATGTTGTCGATATTTCGGGACCTATGTATATTCAGTCAAGAATCATTTCCTAGAGTAGGGAGTAATAACGTTTGACTCAGCTTTTCTTGATAAATCGAATTACATATGTCACGTCCCGAACTTTTACTACACTTACACTACACTACAGCCAATATACTATTTATAATTATATTTAAATTTCAAAAGTCAACCCTCGTTTGTTATTTTAATTTCATTAACTATTCCTATACTATGAAATCTCAAAAATCCAGGATAATAATTTCAAATAATTTATCCTTTTCATTTTAAGAGACAAAGTTATATTTTATAATCATATAACAGAAGGTATAATTTTATGTATATTTTTAATTTCATTTACCCCTTGAACAAGCAACTGAATAATCAACAATAAAATATCTATAACACAACTTTGTATCAGAATTAGACTGTGTGTTTTCATTTCCTTTGGTGTTTTGAAAATAATTAAAATAATCAGAATAATATTTAAAGGAAACCCAATTAATAAACAACCAAAATAATCAAATTTAAATAAAATATCGAGTAAATCTGACATTTTAATTTTAATTTTTTTTAATTTAGAAAATTAAGTAACTTTTTTTTATATAAATATTTTTTATCACGAAACTTAATGTTAATAATTTCTGAATACAAAAAATATTTTTGAGAAAATTTTTCTTAATAATGTAAACATGTCGTGAGATTTTAAGTCTATGTTAAATTTTTATTAAATGTTTAAGTTTATCCATATAATATGTTCCCACATCCAATAAAAATTTAACATTAACTTAGAATCTCACGACATGTTTACATAATTAAACAAAATTTTCTCAGAAATACCTACGCCCACTCGGTCTGGGGCCATTCCTTAACCTATCCCTCGAAATTTCTGAAAGTTTTAATCGTTTAAGGAATGGTCGCAGAGTAAGGAATGGTCTCAGACAGTGTGCGTAGGTCCCAAACATGAATAAATGCTTTGGAACCATACATCAACTTGCAACACCAAGAAAAATCCCATTTTCTTTTGATTGGACACATAAACTAAACCAGACCGAAAAAAGGACATTGTCTGATCTACGAAGATTCTCCAAGAACTTCCACTTAAGTTAACACTCTTTATATCAACCCCTATATCTAAATTCAACATTTACTCATCTTTTACTCATCACTAGCAATATTTAAAAAAGTTTTTTTTTAATTTTTAAATAGTTTTAAAATTTAATTTTAATTTATTAAATTTAAAATAAAAATTTTAAATTAAAAAATTCGATAGTCGCACTCTCTAAAAATTTCCTTTAATAAATTTGGCAAGAGAAAGCTCTGCCATAGACATGCCTTTCAATTATTCTAAATCAATTTTCAGACGCGAGCTTTAATGAGAGCCTCGAGCTTGACTACGAGCTTTGAGGAGAGGGAAATTTAATAAAAAGGCATATGCTAAGTGCAACACGTGCTAGTTGGGCATTTAAAAGTCAAGTTTGAGTGGGAGGGGAGGAGAGGGAGAGGAGAAGAGAGGGAGAGGTGGAGGTGGAGGGACTTCGATTGTAAGGGATTTTAAAAAAGCGCGCGGGTATTGCTTATACATAGTAAATTTTTCTAGGCATTTTAAAATTCTCTAAAAATTGCTTAATAAATTCTCTCTTAATAAAATTATTTACTATTTTTAAGTCTTAAAAAAATTTATAGCTATATGTTAAGACTATAAGTTAAGAGTTAAGTGAAACTATAAGTCTTTCTCTTAGCTATAAGTTAGAGGAAAATAATAACTTGATTATTTAATTAGGGAAAATTAGAAGTTTTTTAAGTTATTGGAATAAGCCATCTCTTCAGGATTAATGTGGGGAGTTAGTCCTGAAGAGATGGAAACATGGCCAAGTCTAGTGAAGTTGGAACATATGTAGTTGTCTAAACAGAAAGATTTAAAAATTTGAAAATGAGGATTGGAACTCGATTTTTGATATTTGTTTTACCTTGGGAATCGGAAATCTTAAAGATTTTCGGAAATCTCATTAAAAAAATTTTTTTCCGATTTTTCCCAATTTCCGATTCTCTTTTTATTTAGATTGTATTTAAATGAATAATGTCTCTTGTCATGCGGCTCATAAATTTTTCCATCTTATAAAGTTATATACCTATTAGATTTTCTTTGTGTTTCAATATTGTAGTTAATCTCCGCAAGATTTCTTAACACTGGCCTTATTCCTAGCATGATAGTATGGCTACCATGATGATTTCACGAATTTTTTAAATCGATATGGCTAGCTAAAATTCATAGAAATAAAGTTACGAATTCCCTAGTCAAACCACTTACCTATAACTCAAAATATATTTACGGATCACAACTTCACCATTGAAAACATAAAGAAATCTTTAATATATAACTTTATGGAACGCAATTGACATATGTCAAAATAATTTTAATTATTTAAGAAAAAAGTTAAAAAAGTCATGAACATCAAATTCTTTGTGCTACTTTGTATAGCCATAATTAGTTCGTTGAACATCAACACTGTTAAATGTTATCGTGTTATGACCCGTAGTTATTATTATGGGAGGCCAAGTGGCCCTTATTATGGGAAGCCACGTGTTGTACATCATAAATATAGTGTAGAACATATTTATGAAGAAGAGGAACCAGAGAAGCCGAAACCAAAGCCTGAGGAGCCTAAACCTGAATCAAAGAAAGATTGGACTCTTGGTAATGTATAAACATATTTTAAAAAGCTCAGTTCTATTTGAGGCTTTATTCTAAAATTCCGTGGAATATAGTGTTGTATGTAATATATACTGTTGAAATCCATTTTTCGAATTTTCATAGTTAAGTAAGCGGTTGGCAACAAGATTAAGTTTCAACATTATATGAGAATGTGAAATTCCTGGCCACTAAACTTCCTGGTTGACCCCAGCCTCGTTTCCGAATAAAGGCTCTAAACATAAGAAAATATAAAAACTAATTTTAATTATAAATTCAGGTGATCTGAAAGTAAGGTTTACAATAAAAAAGGAAACGTTCGTTCCTGATGTTGTAGACTTTATAGAAAAATTTAATGGAAGAATTCAAAAAAGTACAATTGAAGCTCCACACGCAATTTTCGAAAATTTGCCCAAAGAATCGAAGAAAATAAAGGATTTGTTAGAGGCAAAAACTGTGAACAAATGGGAGGATCAGCCTGAAGTGTCTTCTGCATTTGAGAAAATTAGAGGAGAAATGGAAAAAGTCTATTCCGTGTCTGAATGGGAAAAGCCTATTCAAGAAGGAAAGGATAAGGGAAAAGGTTTTATAATTTAAATTTTGTGTAATTATTAATAAATTACCGTGATGTGACACTGGGTCAAGGCAAAACACTTCATTTTTGATATTTTATGACTTCGTTTGTCTTTTTTCCAGAACTTTACCTAACTCTTTCACTCTTAAAGCACCTTAGTGCTCAGTGATATAAGGTTTTTACCGATCAGCCAAAAAACCACCGATTGAACGTTTTTATTGCAGTATCTGCTAGGCAAGGAGGAAACTTCGATAACTTGCTTTAGATAAAATTATCCATGCACCGATTTAAAGAGATTTCTTATTTTAATTTAGTCAAGCAAAAACAGCTCTGGCACAAAGCATTATTTTTACTTAATGCACTGTTTCAACTTTATGACAAGGTTTTGTCCGAATTAATCAAGTTGGTTGATAAAAGCAATGACCAAGTTAGCAATGTGACTTGTGCAGATAAAGTCAAAGATTTAGATAAGGAAAAAAAATGCTCAAAGGGACTAGAAGCACTTGTGAAGATGAACAAAGAGAATATTGAAAAGATTGATGATTTCTATAAACTTCATGATAATTTTGGCAAGTTTACAGGGTGACCAGAATGTTATTGCACACTTTTCATTCCACCATAACTCCAATAACATTCTGGTTATCCTGTATTTTGCATCACTATAGTAAATAGAAAACAAATCAGGGGAGGGACTTCGGGTCGGATCAGAAAAAATATTTTACTAGGAGGGATAATGGAGGATTTAAGCTGAATCATTCGATTTCTTCCTTAAATACTTTCAATCTCTAGTGATCTATCTTAATCCACTTTTCCCACTCCACACATATCACCCGATATTTTCTTAATCCCAACCAAATTAAACCATAAACCCTTCAATTTATAACTTATAACCAACTAAATACTTTTAGTTAAACAAACAAAAGCATGGAACGAGTTTAAAGAGAAAATCAAAAATATTTTCACCGTTGAAATTGAGACCCCAAAAATAAAATTTGAAAGACAAAAAGTAAAGTTTACACTTAAAAAAGACGAATTCTTTTCTGAAATTGTTGACAAAATTAAACTTTATTATGAAAAAATTAACAGAGAAGATAAAGTGACTGATGCTGCTGAAACAATTTATGCATTTCCGAAATTGTTTCGGGATTGGCTAAGACAGAAAACAAGTGATTGGAAGGAGCAGCCTGAAGCTACCAAAGCTTTTAATTATGTAAAGGAGGAGATAACCAAGAGTTATTCGTTAAAAGAGGAGATAACACGATTGAATGGTAAGAATTTTATGATGACAGTCTATGCTTCTTAAGTAATCAAAGGGAATATCCTATAGCTTTTCTGGGCGAGGGTTTAAGATCTATTAAAAAATGGAAATTAAAGCACCTCGGTAGCTCAGTCGACAGAAATTCTGCAAATGATAATATACGTGTTCATTATCCACAGTCGTAGACCCGATCATTTAACCATATTAGGTAACAGAGTAACCAAGACAAAATACACCAGTATATTCACAATATATATAAAAAACTATCATAAGGCAGGGATTTTGGCCGTAAAACACCTTTCAAAAAATCAAGCTCCCCAGGCCTTGCTCAGAGAATTTTATCAGAGAATTTTATATTTTTGATTAAAATTCTAAACAAATTGAGCCCGTCTCTATTATAAGACTTAAAAGGAAAGGGAAATTTGATAAAATGAATTTAAAAAAATTTCTAGCTCAACGAAATTGGCCTTATCACTTGTTTTTGCTTCACACACTTTTTGAATTTTTCGAATCTATTTTTGCTGAGGCAAGAAAACAAATTTCAAGTAAAAACAATGCCGTTATAAATCAAATCTGCGATGAGAAACTTTCTGAAAAAGAATCTGAAAAGTGTGTTGATTGGTTGAATAATCAAAGCAAAATTCTTGAAAAATGTAATGTGAAGATTGAAACGGTTTTTTCTGCAAGTAATCTTTTTTTATTTAAAATTAAGTAGCCCATCGGCCGGTTTCCGAACGAATTTTTACCGGGAAGAGCGTCGCTAAAAATAGGGATTTTATTAAGCAAAAGGATCATTAGTCCAAAAAATTATAAGATTTTTTGTCTCATGCCTTAAAAATTTTAGTAAAATACAATCCTATTAATTCGTTTAATTTTTAATATTTTTTGACAATTTAAAGGATTTAAAAACTTGTTGGACAAATGGGAAGATTATTCAAAAAATATCAAAGGAATATTTGAAGTTGAGATTGTGGCAGGTGATGCACCTGCACCTTCTCCAGAAGCTCCGAAAGTTAGAAAGGTTATAAAAAAAGTTCGTGGTAGAGAGTATTATCACCCAGAAAGTTTTGAATACAACCCGGATGAATATATTTATGACCATCCTCGTCATTATGGCCCTCCTCGTCATCATGGTGATTATCGTTTTATGCCTTATGGCGATTCATTTGAAGTCAAAGGAAACTACCATTACAAATCGGGTCCTAAACGAATCAAGTATAGCCATCAAGCAACTTACAAATATAAAGGAAAGTGAATTTGATTTATTGGGACAGCATATTTTTTTGATTTTTACATTCTGTTAAAAGAATGTGGGTATTGGTTTAAACCAGAGATGGATGGTTTTTTCGGCTTCCTATTTTCTAAATTTGAAAAAATTTTATAATCGGGGCTAGTTTAGATTTAGACTTCCAACACTTATTCTATAATATCCATGCTCGTGAAATGGTATTCGATGGGAAATGGAACAAAAATACTTTGGAATTGCCTAATCGAGAGTACATCCTCAGATCCTACTCATAATTATGTTTAAAAGTTATTAAGACCCACCTCTGGTTGAGATATGTAAATTATCTGAAAATTATTTTAAAATTTGTATTTATCTACCACAAAAATATACGTATCAGGATTCTGATGCGTGTTAACATACTCCCTGATACAACCAAGACAAGGCTCATTGGAGTAAAAATGTTATTTCTTGATACCGATTCCTCGATTAATTACCTTCACCGAATAATCGTTAATCTTTCACTCTAGCAATAGGGTGAAGAAATACATAATTCGGCAGGTAATTAATTGAGAAATTACTCTATTGAGCTGAACCAAATTATTTTTGAACTGTAAAATTTATACAAAGAGACCAGTGTTTTTGAATTTAAGGAACCATAAATCAAAAAATTCTTTATTTAATGAAATTTTTGTTTGAATTTCATGTTGAATACCAAGTTTCCTCAAAAATTCATAAAATTAAAAACATCGGCCTCAACATTTTCTACCACATTTATCAGAGATGTTGCTCCCCTTTTCACCTATTTCCTTTTTAAAGGATAAAGTTTGAAGCTTCCCTCCGTTTCCAACTCGTAACTCTTTCGTTTAAAAAATCGGTGCGCAACATCTCTGATTTGTACATAAATTAACTAGAATAGATTAACCACAAACAAACACCACTAACTTTTTATAAAAGTTAAGAAAAGTCAGAATTTCTATTTTTATTTTATTTAAATTTATTATTTTTAAAATTTTATACAATGTATAACTTGATTGATATATTGGAACTTTCGCCTTAGTTTTCGCCTTATTTATCATTCATCAATTCGATAATAGAGTTGGATCTCATTCAAATACCGGATCTTATTACTAAAAAATCCTATATTAAAACGAGGGTTATTAGAGTTTAGCCAGGCAACTTTTAAAAATCGTATCTAAAAACGCAGTCTGACTATAATTTGAAATATTTAAAACTAAGGTCCTACTTTATAAATTTCATTAGAAAATTCGATATAGATAATGCGAAAGTACCAATATATAAAGTTTATTTTCTAAAATTTTAAACTAAAATTCGTGGCGGACGTGATCTTGTGCGATTCGGGACGTGATCTTGTTTGGTCATTTATGGGATTTTTTCCAGGAATTTCTAATTTTAATATACGAACGGAATTATTTCTATGTTTGCAGCATTAATAAAGATCACGTCCCGCTCCTCATTCTGAAAACTTATCCCGTAACGGGATCCTGGATTTGTGATTTTGCTACCAACATTTTATTTATTAAATGACATTATTATATAAATATACTTTTCCATTTTTATGATTTATTTAAATGATTTTATTTTTTAGATAAACTTTTTGGGTACAATTATATTAAACATATTCATAAATTATTTATTAAGGTTAAATCGACAGAGAATATTTTTATTTACATATAATTTTTTGCGAGCTTTAAAATTCCCAGCATTTACTATAATATCTGAAGCATATCATCATAGAAAATTAAGATTATCCATATAATTTAGATCATACAAAAAATTAAGATAATCCACATCATTCAAATCATCTATTTGTGTGAGCTGTCCATCATTAACATTTTCTTTTGGATAAGGGCGAGTAATCGTTTCATTTATATTATTATCCGTATTTGAATTTCCTTCCTCATTAACAGAAGTATGAATGTTTTCTTCACTATTTTCTTTATTCGATTGGGATGTAAGACCTTCTGATTTTCTTACTTGATTTTCATCATTTCTATTTACAATCATATCATTTTGTTGAATATTTCCTTTATCTAACTGAACGTTTCCATTGGAGACAATCGTTTCTTTTCCTTTATTTTCATAATTATTATCCTTTATCTTACTCGCTGGAGTTCCTTCTCCATTATCAGATAAAAAATTTTTTAATTTTGGACTATCATTTTGTTGAATTCCTTTTTCATATTTCATTTTTAGACGTCTAAGTCGTTTATTTTCTAGAATCCTTTCTTTGTTCTTATGATAGTAATTGTGATTAGATTTTATTTTTCTTACTTTATATTTTGCAGACTTACTCTTTTCCTTTATTTTTTCTTTATTATTTTCCCGGTAAGTTTGATCATATTTGGTTTTCTTTTCTTTATTCTTTTTATTCCAATTACGATAATATTCTCTCCTCTTTTTCTTTTTTTCTCCTAAATTATCTTCATCTTTTTGAATTTGAGGAGCAACCGATGATCCAGCTCCATTGTTTAATATTTTATTTAAATCTTCTGAGGTTTCCTCAACTCTAGCTAAATCGTTTTGATTTTTATTATTTTTAACAGAATTAATTAAACTCCATAATATCGAATTGAAAATTAAAAAATTAGAACACTATCAAGTTTCATTCTAAATTAAAAAAGATTATTAAATAATAAATTTATATTACCTAATTAAAAATTGAATGGAATACAAAATAAAAATATATTCACAGTGTAGTAAAGGTCATTATTGTTAAATATAATGTCAAAATATTTATTAGAATTATGTAATCTCAACTGACATTTTCTCGGACGTTTTTTATTTTTATAATTATGTCTGTGAAAACAGATTTCGACACTATATTTGGTAAGGTATTTGTTTTATTAAAAAATGCCGTTGATCTTTTAAATTTTAAATTAAAATTATGATTAAACTATTTAATTAATAAAAAATTTATCTTTTAAAGTTACTTCATGAATGAGAATTTTTTATAAGAATTTCTTTATGAATGAGAATTTTATAAAACCAAGAAGCTTATAAAATTCTGATATTTCTCCTTATCATCATTATTTTCCCCTAACTTTTCTTTTTATCATTTTTATGCACCACTTTAATGTATTTTAAAATACCTGTGGTTTGCTAATAAATAAATAAGTAAAAACTTTTTTTCTGGTTCATCATTTTTAGTTTCAACTTTATAATTTGTCTGTATATTTAATTCTCTTCAAAGTATGGTTGGCAGAACCGGACCCGAAAAAGGACCGGGTATCCATAAACTTCTTATCTAAAGATTTCCCAAGATCAAATAAACCTACTTCAGAGCTATAAATTTTATTTTTTTTTAATTTTAATGATTTTCTTTAATGTCTGCGAAAATGCACTTTGAGATTTCATAATCTGTCGGCTTTAATAAATATATTTACAAGATATTTAGCAATACTGACCTTTTACATATGGTCATGAAAGATACATTTATTACACTGGATGTTTTTACCTATATTCATTTAAAATTTTTTCTTATTTAGCGTTAATTCATAAAAATTAAATTTATTAAAATAATTTTTGAAATTAATTTTGAATGAAATTTATTAGAGTTTTATTCTTTTTAATTTTCAATTCAATATTATGGAGTTTAATTAATTCTGTTAAAAATAATAAAAATCAAAACGTGGTAGCTATTGTTTCGGAAACTTCAAAGGATTTAAATAAAATATTACATGATGGGGCGGAATCATCTGTTGGTCCACAAAATCAAAACAATAAAGACTTATTAAAGTTGGCAGAAAAAAAGTTAGAGAAAAAAGAATATGATAAGGATTACAACCAAAAGAATAAGGAAAAGAGGAAAGAATATTACCGAAAATATCAACAAAAAAATAAAGAAAAACTAAAAGAAAAGAGAAATTCTGAAAATTATAAACAAGTTAAAAAAGAATATGATCGGAACTACTACCATAATAATAAAGAAAAGATACTAGAATATAAAAGATTTTACGACCAAAATAATAAAGATAAGAGGAATGACTCTCGTCGAAAGTACCGAGAAAAAAAGAAAAATGAGATGGAAAATTTAAAAAATGAAATTTCACAGTTAAGAAATATTCAATCGGAAATTAATGAAGAAGCTTCTTTTATTCTTCCACAGAATAATGATTTGATCGGTAAGGCTAAATCACAAAACGTCTCAGAAAATTTAACTAAAATATTAAATGCTGGGACTGAATCAACAGTTGATCCGCAATGTAAAAAATATCAAGAAAAGGTAAAGACAACATCCAAAAATGAACTTAAAATTGATGAAGACGAAAAAAAGTTAAGGAAAAAAGAATATGATAAAGAGAGATATCAGAAGAATAAGGAAAAGATGTGTGAAAATTAGAAAATTTACGAAAAAATAGATTCGAAATTGAGCAAAATATTAATTCAAAATTAATAAATATTCAATCTAATAACGGAAATTTATTACATAATACACAAAATAATGATTGTGGAAGTAAAGAAAGGGAACCGATTGTTTCCGAAGAGACTATCCAGTTAGAAAAAGGAGAAGATAATCCTATTCAATCTTCTCATAATGTGGAAGCAATTGAAAATGCTGAAGGAACTTCCTTTGTTAATCCACAGATGGATGATTTTGAAGGTGGAGGACATGAACCATTGAAAGAGAACGTTCAATTGGATAAAGGAAATATTCTTTTACAAAATGATAATTCAATTCGATCATCTTATAAGGATGAAGGAAATTCAGCACATCCAGTTAATCCGCAAAAGGTTGAAAGTGGAGATAATTCAATGAATTGCCCTTATGAACAAGAAAATGTTCATATTGAACATAGTAATCAACAGAATGAACTGAATGCTGTGGATTATCTTAATTTTTTGTATGATCTAAATTTTTTGGATAATCAGAATTTCCTATAATGAAAAGAATTTATCCTATAAACAAATATATGATTTGAATTTTTAACTTTTAAAACAAAATCTTTCTACTCTGTAATTTTTAAAATATTTTTTTCATTTTCTTACTCTGTCATTTAACTTGAATTAAATTAGATTATTAACTAAAAAGTTTAAGGCTTTCCGTAATAATATGAATTTTTAATTTTTTTCTTTAATTTTTCATAGTCCAATTGTGCTTATAAATCGCATATAAAAATTTAAATTAACATTGAACTGCCTAAATAATGATTACTAAAAAACAACTGTATTCATAAAATTTACAAATTTACATTATTTATTATCTATTTTTGTCAATGATCATCTATTATAAATATTTTAAATGATCAAAAGATCTTTCTAGAAAGTATCCGAAATATGAGTCTCTAAATGGAAATTAAATTTTTTGAGTAAAATTTTCAAAAATGAAATTATAAGCTATTTCGATGCGCATGAACGAGATATGTCTATTATTACAAAAATTTAATGGATTGAATGATTTAGGACGAAGTTATGATCAATTAAAATTTAGCAAAAAAAAGTTTTTTTGTGTATTTAATATTTTCGGACCGTCTTATCTCTACCATCCGCAAACCGAATTTCTATTTTTTTTGATAACAAAAATTTTCTCAGAGAGTTGTGAATAAAATATAAAAAGAATTAAATATACAGAGAGCAAAGCTAATTTTGTTTTTTACATAAAAGTCTGATCATCCTTTTGTTGGTATAAAATTTCAAGAATATAGATTATTCAAGAAATCTGGATCATCCAAAAAACTTAGATCAGACACATCGTTCTGGCCTTCAGTTTGTTTAACGACATTTTCATTTTCTATTTGAACATTACTCTCCCCATCAGGATATACAATCGATTCGGATAAATTGTTTACACAATCAGTAGTTGAATTAACAAATGAATTTCCTTCTAAATTATTTATCTGTCCATACTCTTCACAAACTATTGGATCCTTTCCTTTATTTTCACAATTATTATTAGGTGAATTATTAAAAGTTCCTAAATTATTATCAGATTGAACCTCTTTTAAAATATCATTTTTGTGCATATCTTTTTGATTTTTCTTTTCCTCTCGGCGCATTCGATTATATTCTCTTTTCTTTATTATTAAGGTAGTATTCATGATTAACAAATTTTTTCCTTTTTCTTATTCTCTCCCTATTCTGTTCCCGATATTTTCGATCATATTCAGTTTTTTTATCTTTATTTTTTTGGTAGTGATTTCTATTATATTCCTTTTTCTTTAGCCTTATTTCTTCTTCTTTATTTTTATTTATTTCCTTTTTTGTAATTTTAGGTGTTGATTTTAACGTTTCTCCATATTTTTGAATTTGTGGCGCAAACGATGATTCAGCCCCATAATTTGATTTTTCATGTATTATAAGTAGGGATGGGATTTATATGGACTATCAATCGAAAAATATGGACATATAATATGGACTAAAAATCTCAAAATATGGACTGAAATATGGGCTAAAATCCAAAATATGGATCAAATATGGGCCGAAAACTGAAAATTTTTAACGGAAAAATTTAAATTTTTAAGCAAAAAATGTTAATGAAGTTAATTTTGATGCAAATTAATACAAATAATCCAATTAATAGTGATTATTTTGTTTCTAAAAATATTTTGGATAATATTTGAGTCAAAAATTTTTTGAAAAATTTTTGTTAAAATTTTTATAAAAAAATTTTCAAAAATTTTTTTAAAAAAATTTTTTCAAAAAATTTTTTTGTGAAAATTTTTGACCAAAAATTTCATAAATTTGAAAATTTTAACCAATTTTTGGCAAAATTTTACAAAAAATGACAAAATATGGATAAAATATGGAAAATATGGACGGAACGCCTAAATATGAAAAAATACGGAAAATATGGATTGATAACTCAAAAACGGCCTTATCAACATATGCTAAAAATATGTTTTTTGGACGTTTCAGAACCCAACGAGTTCAGGAAAAAAATATGGAAATCCATATAAATCCCATCCCTAATTATAAGCAAGTTTCCCTCAGCTCTTTTTAAATCTTGTAGATTATTATTATTTTTAACAGAATTAATTAAACTCCATAATATCGAATTGAAAATTAAAAAGATTAAAATGCTATCAAGTTTCATCTACTTAATTTTTAAAAATTTTTAAAGAGTAATCTGTTTATAAAGAAAAATGATTAAAGAAATAATTATTAATTTATATTTTGACTCTTTACATTATTTATTACATAAATTAATAAATGTAATCAAATCTTATGCTGTAATATGATTTAATGACAGACATTTTTGAAATATCAAAGGGCATCTATTAAGTAAACAATTTTTTAAATTCTTGTGGGAAAAGCAAATTTCGGAAATAAAAGTACATTGTCGTATTATTACAAAATAAAATGTATTTAGAATTTGGTTAAGACACTAGAGATCGAGCTGGGCCTGGACCAAGGCCTGGGTATTCCTGTACCCAGAGTCCAGGCCCGGGCATTTTTTACCTTCCTGGGCCTGGGTTTTTCCTGGACTACAGGCCCAGGATCCGGCCCATGTTAATAGATCAAACCCGGAACCCAGGAACAGGCCCAGGCTTTTCAAAAATCTCGATCTCTATAAGACACATTGTGTGGTAAGTGACCAAAAAGGGGGCTATATTAAGGAGGGGGCTCTATTCAGACGGGGGGCTATAATACAGGAAATACGGTATATTATTTTCCCATATTTTTTTTTAATTTAATGATAATTATTCTATAGTTGTCCTTTAAGATTTCATATTCGTCTGACTTTAGATAAATTATGGCTCGTTTAATGCCCTTTATACCAAAAAAAATATATTATTAATAAATAAGAATTTAATTAATAATTTTAATTAATAATAAAATTATTTTTTTTAATTTTTAAAATTAAATAAAATGAAATTTATTAATGTCTTTACAGTGCGTCCAAAAATGATAGCACCACCTATCTTTTTCTAAATACTTAACCTGAAATGAATGTGATTGAATTCTAATTATTTCTATTCGATACTCTAAACAATTTTACATATAATTGCAAAATTTCACTTAAATATATCCTTTCTTTCATTAGTTACAAATTTTTTAGTTAATGTAGTGCTTTTTAGACCGTCCAAAAATGATAACACCACTTTTATTTTTCATATTTCCAACAATTGGAAAAATCTTAAGCTATTGTTTCGGAAACTTCAAAGGATTTAAATAAAATATTACATGATGGGGCTGAATCATCGGGTGCTCCTCAAATTCAAAAATATAAAGAAACGTCAAAACCATCTTCATCAACTAAAGTTGTTGAAGATGAAAAGTTAAAAATAAAGCAATACAATAAAAAGAGATACCAAAAAAATAGGGAATATCATAGAGAATATGCTCGGAATTGGTATAAAATGAATTTAGAGAGAAGCCAAATTTATCGAAAAAATAATAAAGAAAAGAAGAAAGAATATGATCGAAAATATCTGCAAGATAATAAAGAAAAAATGAGAGAATATCAACGAAAATACTATCAAAATAAGAAAAATGAGAAGGAAATTATGAAAAATAATAGATTAAAATTGATAAATGTTCAATCTGAAGGATGTTCATTTAATATTCAACAGACTGGGGATTGTAGCAATAAGGTTAAATTACCAATTGTTTACGAAGAGGACTTTCAGACTGAAGAAGGAAATATTCCTAGAGGAGTGGAAGAAGAAAATAATACGGATAAAGTAAAAAAATTTTTGGATGATCTAAATCAAATCGAGGTTGAAGAGCCAAATAATGTTGGTGAAAATAACATTAATCAAATAAATCTAAATGAGTATCCTTTTGATCTGAACGAGAAACCTGAGGAGGATGGAGAAGATATTTAAAAATGAAGACTATGTAATACAAATATATTTATTAAATTTTTACTCGCTACTTTCCGATAATCACCCAAATATGCAAAAATTCATAACTTTTTAAAGGTAACCAATTTTGCCCATTTTTAAATCTTATTCTATGAATAAAAACTTCTCAATCATGAATAATACATTTTCCGATTTTGGACCTTTGTGCTATTTTTTTCTACTCAAATCGCCTATAAGAGGGCGAAGCATTATCAAACTCAAGACAGTTTTTGATTCCAAGCCTGATTTTTATGCGTTAATTTCGAAGAATTTGTAGGAAATATAGTCAAATCTCAAAAAACGGAGTCATAAAGGTCAATATTGTTATATGTAGAGTGCAATCAAATGAAATACATTTTTTAGCAATTTTATATCCAAAAACATTTTTCTTCCATAAATTTGATCTATTTATTAAATATTGAAAGAAAAATTGTAAAATCTCAGACGAAATTTCACAACTTCTTTTTTTATTCTTATAATATATAATACAGAGCCGATTAAAATTTAAAAAATTCCTGCTCCCGGCCGAAGGCCGGGAGCCTCCTGAAAGTTGTGGGTCCTGGGGCCAACTTTTTACGGGGCATCCAGGAAAACTATAGAGATTTTCCTGCGATGAAGTCTTGGCACCGAAACGGCCGCGGTCACGTACCTATCTCGTGAACCATAAGTCGGAGCGGAAAGGGTCTGCTTAGAGGGGCCTGGTCTACTATTAGGGGGTTTCAACAAAAAAAAAATTTTGAAAATCGGGTGAACTCCCGGGGACTTATGGGCGCGCAAAAATTCACCGACTGACGGTGAATTGTCCGATTTTGTCGGACTAAACGTGGTTTATGAGGTATATCTCGGGAACGGCTGCGAGGATTAAGATCGGACCTGGGGGGTTCTAGGTAAGTGGATATGGGGAATTTTTTGGGATGGGTCATTTTTGTGCCACACTTGAGTGTGGCACTGAAGTGACCGGATGAATATTTCAAACGGTTATAGCGGGTTTTTGAGAACTTGGGGGTCTTTGGGCCTGGGAGTGATGTTGGAGGGTAGAGTGTGGGGAACTTTTCGGTAGTTGACCACTAGAGTCTCGAGTGAACTTTTGGGGGTGATATGGTCCAAAGAGTCGGTGTCAAAAAATCGACTTTTTGTAAAGTGAATTGAAACTCGATTTCGATAGCCAGATCGAAAGAGCGTACCCTCGGGCTCCGAAAAAGGTATAATATGTTGGGGTCCACTTGAGTCTCAAAAAGTTATAGCCAATGTGGCCAAATGTCGGAAAACTTTATGAGACTCTAACGTCCCGGGGAAATTTTTTAAAATTTTTCCGAGACCGGATTCATACTCAGCGGGTGTCAGAGTACCATATAGGCCGTTTTTTGGGTCAAAATTCTAAAATTTTGTCCCGCCCTCTATTTCCTCTATTTCCAAAGGGGTACCCCTTTTGGGGAAAATTCGGGATTTTTTTGGGGACCTTAACTTTTTTTTGGGGAGTCGGATTGGGATGGGGTTTCTTTCATAAAATCAAGTAAAAAATTAGGTATTTTTAGAGTGAAGAAAATTTCGAAAAAATTCGAAATTGGGCCCGAGGGGGTCGAATTTCGAAAAACCCAAAATTTTTCGGTTTTTCGAAAAAATTTCGGGTTTTTTGCCGGCGGTTCGCGCCGAAGGTATTTTTCCTGGATAGAGCAGAATTTTCTGCATAGAATAGCCCCTTAAAATCGTCAAAAAAGGTTAACTTTGAAAAAGTTATGATTTTATGAAAATTTGGTCGATTTTTTCGGCCAAAATTTTAGTCTAAAAAAATATTTTTTAAAAAATTGGTACAAATGGGGCAAATGATATATCAAACGAAAGCCCTTACCGAGAGGAGTCTAAAAATATTTTTTTCAAAATTTTCTGACCATTTTGTACAAAGTTACAGAAGGTCAAAATTTAGGGGGTTGGGGTACTCTCAGACTCATATGACCCCCAAAAGTTGATCAGAGACTCAAATGACCAACTACTTATAAGTTCCCCACATGCTGCCCTACAACATCACTCCCAAGCACGAAATCCCCCGGCCCTTCAAAAAACCGTTATAACGCGTTGAAATTTCCAACCGGCCATTTCAGTGCCACACTTTAGTGCGGCACCAAAATGGCCATACCCATTGAATTCCCCATGGCCGATTACCTATAATCCCAATTAGTTTTTCCCCCGTTTGGTCTTTTTTCGATTTTGACCATTTTTCCATGTACCCTTTTGTCGAAAAAAAGGCTGAAGCTTTTATTTTTCCAATTTTTTTATTTATTTTTATTTTTTTAAAACCCCCCTAAAATTTAAATTTAATTTAAACGGGAACCGCTGGGTCTTCTTAGCTGCAATTAATTATATTAGGTAATCGGCCCTGGGGAATCCATTGGGCATAGTCATTTTGGTGCCACACTTGACCGTGGCACTGAAACGTCCTTTTAGGGAACTTCGCGGCCGTTTGGGTTAAAACTTGGGGATATAGGTAATCGGCCTCGGGGAATTCAGCTGGCATGGTCGTTTTGGTGCCACACTCAAGTGTGGCACTGAAACGGTCTGTTTTTTCCAAAATTTCCCAAAATTCATTTTTAATTAATTTTTTTTATTTTTAGCCTAAAAAACTAAAATATTTTAATCCAAAAAATTATTTTTTCAAAAATTCAAATATTTTCGGCAACAACAACAAATTTCAATCATTTTTATTTTCCACTATCAACAACAATAACAACAAATTTCTTCACGTATTTCAATTTATCCCTTCATCATCAACTCAACACACTCACATCTCTACAAACAAACCATATTTGGTTTGTTTTTCAATTTAAAAATTTTTTTTTTCAAAAAAACAATTTTTTATATTTCAGGTGTTCAACACCAACTATGGCTGGAAAATTTGGAATTTTCCATTATGGAAAATTTTTTGGAGGATGGAATTTTTGAAGAAAGAAATCCCACGGACGTGGGTAAGCTATTTGTATGACCACTGTGCGGAGGGGTCATGCCGGTTTTCGTCCAGAAATGGGCGGAGCCGGCATGATCGGGGATTGGGTCATGCCCGTTTCCCCTTTTGGGGGTATGGGAAGGCTCCCCCTTCCTTCTGCACAGTGGGAAAGTACAACCATTGTGCAGACGGGTCATGCCGGTTTTTTCTCCAGAAATGGGCGGAGCCGGCATGATCGGGGATTGGGGCATGCCCGTTTCCCCTTTTGGGGGTACGGGAAGCCTCCCCCTTCCGTCTGCACAGTGGGTTAGTACAACCACTGGATGGACGGGTCATGCCGGTTTTTTCCCAGAAATGGGCGGAGCCGGCATGATTTGGGGATTGGGGCATGCCCGTTCCTCCTTTTTGGGGGGATGGGAAGCCTCCCCCTTCCGTTTGCACAGTGGGACAACCTCTGTGTGGAGGGGTCATGCCGGTTTTTGCCCAGAAATGGGGGAAATCGGCATGATTTGGGGATTGGGACATGCCCGTTCCTCCTTTTGGGGGGATGGGAAGTCTCCCCCTTCCTTCTGCACAGTGGGAAAGTACAACCATTGTGCAGACCCCTTTGGAAATAATCGAGGGTACAAAATTTTCGAATTTTGACTAAAAAATTTGTTATATAGTGGAACAGTACACGCTGAGTACGAATCCTCGGTTGAAAAAATTTTTAAAAATTTTCCTGTGCAATTAGAGTCTCAAACATATCTCAGCCCCAGTCAACTATTGGCCCTTATCTCACTCAGACGCAAGTGGAAACACAACAAAGTATATATTTTTTGAGTGACTATAAGCTGCTTTACAAGAATATCTGAGTACCTTTTACTAAGCACGCTTTTTCAGCTACTCCATCTGTAAACACCCCCAACCCTGAATTTTCAAACCTCTATAACTTGGTCAAATTTGACTCAAGATTTTTACAAAAAATATTTTTAGACTCAGCTCGATAAGGGCTTTCGAATGATATATAATTTGCCTCACTTATCTTTCTTTTTGGAGAAATACTTTTTTGGCCGAAAATTCTGGCCGAAAAAATCACCAAAATTTTTAAAAATTCATATCTTTTTTTAAATACACTCTATTGACTCATTTTAAAGCTCTATTCTATGTAGAAAAATCTACTCTATCTGATAAAAATACTTCCATCTTCTACCGCAATCGAAAATCCGGAAAAATTTTCGAAAAACCGAACATTTTTGAAATTTTTAAAAATCGACCCCTACAGCCCCGGCTTTGGGGTTACGTGAATTTTTTTCATTTGTAAAAATTTCTATTTTTTAGTATTATTTTATAAAACAAACCCGACCCACAAATCTCAGTTCCTCCCAAAGTTATGACCATTTAAAAATTTCCAAATATTTTTCATAAGGGGTACCCCTTTGGAAAAAATCGGGGATACAAAATTTTCGAATTTTGATTCAAAAAAGGTCTTATATAGTGGAATAGCATGCGCTGAGTCTGAATCCGTTGTCGAAAAAATTCAAAAAAATTTTTCCGAGCAATTAGAGTCTCAAAACCATCTCAGTTTCAGACAAATTTTGACAACATTGACCCGTATATAACTAAAACTCAAATGGAACCAAAGTATATATTTTTATATATATAACAAAGTATATATTTTTTAACAATCAAAATCCGATCTAAACGAAACTAAACACATTTAATATACATCTCCAAGCAAAAAATAAATCTAGCGTCATTTTAAAGCCGCAGGCTTTCCACGCGCGTCCCTGGACGCGCCCCCAAAACGACTTCTATAAAAACAATGTAACCAAACGCTCCCCCCAGCGTAACTAAACCCACAAAGCACACGCCCTTTCAGCTACTCACCCTGCAGCTAGTTTTAAAATAATATTAAAAGTAAACAGCAGATCGAGTTACATCAGACCGGGACGTTACAGGAAGCGTCTCAGTCTGTTGTTCATAAAGAGAAATAATTTTACAATAATGGTATTTCAAAATTAAGAAACTTTAATGAAAACGTTCAGAAATAGTAAAAAAGTGGAAACTATAATAGTTAAATCCACTTCCTTCAAAAATACAGGGTGACCATAAAAGTTTATGGCACTTCTCATTTTGCCATAACTTTTTTTCTCATTTATATTTTTTACTATTATTAAACTCATTTTGTAGCCCATCCAATTCTCTTTCAGGCTCATAAGCCTAATTCCATTATTAAATCTTTTTTAAAAGATTTTTTATTTAATACATTTTTATTTTATTTGACAGATTTCCATTTCTTGTGTATAAATTCTTTTAAATATTTTTTAATTATTTAATATTTTAAAAAATATTTTATTTTTTTTTAATTGATTGAAGCCAAATAAATATATAAAAATAACATCTTGACAACAATGCCTTATTTATATTTAACCGTTGCCAAGCGCCTAGGTGATAGCTTTAAGATAAATGTCCGTTTTTAACCAATGCCATTCTTTTCTTATACACTTCCTTTTCTTTACCTAAGAAACTGAGTGGGTATTTTTATTTGGCAGATATAATATTATAATTTTGGTTAAACATTCTAATTAGTAACTTGATTTTTCAAATCTTTCAAATTATTTCGAAAAAGATCGAATATACCTAAATGGTTGATTGAAATTTACTACATATAACGATTTTCCAATCTTTACTCAGCTAATTGAAAACCTCTTCTAAATAAGCGAACTCATGCTAAAAATAATGTATATGAAGCCTAGTTCACCCACCAGGCTTCATACATATAGTTTACAAAAAATAGTTAACTTCAAACCAGTAACTTAAATATTTCGATTCAGACTAACTGACCCTCTTCCTTAGAATACATACCCCTTACTTAATCTTTTTTTTAAATGAACAAAACTATGTTGATAAGAATGTAATTAAAAGTTAAAATGCCTAGATTTTGTTATTAACTTTTATCGTTAAATTTCCATATTTATCCTAACAATAAAGATATTATTTCATTTAATAAATTAATTGTATAAATTATGGCATCGGGTAAGAAATAAAGTTAGAAAAATAAAATTATTTGTCTACTTTTTAAAGCTGAAACAGCAAAAGATGAACAAACATTTCCTTGTCGTATATGTACGCGAAGATTTATAAAATCAAGTTTGGTATGGAAATTTAATTTTAATTTTTATGCCACTAGTATCCTACTTATAATTTTAAATTATTATTTCGTGAATAAAAATATTTCTAAAAATTTTAAGGAGAAACACGAACAAGCTTGCAAAAAATTGACAAAAATGCAGCGCAAAGTTTTCGACTCGGTTTTTTGAAATTTTAAAAATTCAAAAATATTTTACAAACATTAAGGGTAAACAAAGAGCATTAAATTCAGATATACCCATTAATGATGTGAGAAAGGTACAGAAGGAACGAGAGAAGGTAGCTGTTTAGCCTGAAATTAATTAATTTCAAAATTATTTAATTTTTTAGATGGGCGGTGTCTTTCCAAGACCGTATGTTGATTTTAATTTATTTACAATAGTAATGGGTTGTTAGATAAATAATGAGCCCTTTTCGTATTTTTAGTCTTCTTTTATGTATAGGTATTCGAGTTTTAGTTAAAATTATTTTAGATTTACTAGAGTCGATAGTTCACGCTTTTTTCTACTAATCTAAACCATCTAAAAAATAAATTTTGATTTTTGCAATTTTTTAAAAATTTTTTAAAATTATGTCCTCAAAATCTGAAATTCGGACTGTTATCTTGTAATGCTTCAAACGAGGTCTAAGTACAACTCAAGCTAAAAACGAAAATGCCGTCTTGAAGGGCACAAGTAGGGCATCTTTTGCAACAATTAAGCGCTGTTACATAAAATTTTTTTATGGAGATATGGGCCTAGAAGCCAAAAACCCCAAATTTGGGCTAAATTTGTGGTTTTACACTGGGATTTAACTCCTAAGGGCAAAGGAGTGAAGACCGAACTCTACAGAACAATATTGGACAGAATTCAGATTGCCTTTGATGGTTTCACTGCTTGTGGGGTTCGTTATGGTCAAGTTGTAATTCAACATGAAAATGCACCCCCCGCATCGCGCGAACGCAACTTGATCCCACATTACAGAGACACTCGGATGGCAACTTTTATTTCATCCGCCTTATTCCCCGGATATTGCGCCGTCTGATTACAACTTATTCCGCTCGATTAAAAATTATTTGCGAGATGTGAGCTTCCAAAATGATGCTCAACCCTCAAATTGGGTTGCCATATTTCTTGATACCAAATCTGCCACTAGATTTTATCAAAGGGGAATTAAAAAACCTCCCAGCATATGGCAAGATGTGATAGATAATAATGGACATTAGATTGTTTCTTAATTTCATTTCATTATGTAGTTATAGTAAATTGTTTTAATTATGCGCAAAGGGCTCATTATTTATCTAACAACCCATTAAAAGCCATGTTAAAGTTTAATCCCGGGCAGGCTTCGATCCTGCGAGCTCCTGGCAGTTATTGCTAGGCGCATTCGCTCACCACGTACTGGTGCTTTACCAACTGAGCTACCGGGACGCTGCTTTTACCTTCTCTTTTAATAGATCTTAAACTAGAGTTCAGCGGGATCGGGATCCTGGTCAGGATCAGGCGGGATTATCCCGGGTTTTTCGAATCCCGATCCCGATTTTTCTGATCCCGGTCCCGAAATAAATATCCCGATCCCGATCCCGGCCAATCTCAATCCCGAGCCGGGATCCGGGATCGGGATCGGGATGTGCATCAGATCCCGATGAAAATCCCGACTTTAAAAATTGACTAGAAGTCTGCGAAATAAAGTTAACAGAAGAAGGGAGGCATGAAAGTAAAAAAAATTTTCGGCTGCGGCGCAGAAGATGGAAGAAATTTGGCATCTTGACATCCAAAATTCTCAAAATTTTCGCCTGCGGCGTCGCAAAAATAAACAAAACTGTCTTTACACTTTAATGAAATATTGAGTAATTTGGTATGATATCGAGGGATCAAGAGGGGTTGAGGGGAGTATCGGTGGATTTGGAGTATAGAAGGATATCGGTGGATTTACAGGGATTAAGTTAGATTTGAAGAGAAATTGAGGGCTTAAGAGATACTACATGAATATATCACTTAATCCCTTAATCATAGTTCTAATCGTCCACATTTGAACGTAACGCACTTAATTGTATAGACTTGAAAGTTTAACTTGAATGCCCTTGGCCTTCCAAAATTATAAATATTGCCTGCGGCGCTTAAAAGGAAGGAAATCTGGCACCTTGGCCTACCAAATTTTTCAAAATTTTTGCCTGCGGCGCTTAAAATGGGAGAAGTTTATTTTATTTTTTTATTTTATTTTACCCTTTTATCCCCCCCCTCCCTACATACCTTATCCCCCCTTAATACCCTGAACCGGAAAGTAAATCATGCGTCTATGAGACTTTAACTCAATATTTTAGCACCGCAGTGGAAATTTTAGAATTATATTGAGTCGTTTGTGAAGAAAATAAAAATTTGAAAGTTAAAAAAAATTTTTTTTAGTAAATCCCGATCCCGAGTTTTCAATCCCGGTCCCGATTCGGGATCGGGATCTCCAGTCCAAATCCCGATCCCGATTTCGGCCAATCCCGATCCCGTGTCGGGATCCGGGATCGGGATCGGGATCACCATTCCTAAATCCCGATCCCGGGTTTTTCTTAAAATCCCGATACCGCTGAACTCTATCTTAAACTCCCGCCTAGTGAGCGTTTTAAATGCTAACCAGCTGGATCTTTCTCTTCCTTACACAATTAAATAACAATAAAATCGAATTTCGGTTCTATGTATATAAACTTATAGAAATAATTATGTAAAATAAAGAGTTAGATTAGTGGAAGTGAACTATACTAGTCAAAAATTTGTATGTAAATCTAAGTGTGCCTTTAGGGTCTATGTTAAGCCGTATTCCGACTCTATTAAATTCATCTTAGTCAAACAAATTGGCGTGAACGACATGAAGAATTTATTAGTGCCGTGAGTGCTTCTAAGCAAGTCGGGAATGCATTGAAAACGGGTGCCCCTCTACCTCCCCCTCCCAAAACTGCTTCGAATGCTGGTAAATTTAATAAAACTAAAAATTTTAAAAATAAATTTAAAGATTATATTAAATGTGATTTTTGTGGTAGAAGTTTTAACAAAAATGCAGCTGAGAGACACATTGAATTCTGTAAGGAACAGAGTGTTAGGAAAGCTATTTTGTCAAAACAGGGAAGACAAAAGACTTCCGAATGTAAGTACAAACATATAATCCCTTTTATTTGCTAAAATTATACAGTCAACTTTTTCCAAACTGTTAGATAGTTTTCTTTAGAATTCAATGGGTTTCGTTCTGTAAAACTAGTCTACCTCATAATTTTTTGCCATATAACATAACAACTTAGGAAAAAAACATAGGAAGTCTCGTCTTGGGGAAGTCTCGTCAACTAGTAAACTTTAAAAGATAGGAATTTTAATAGGATCTTCCGATTATTTATTTTCAGTCAAACTATGCTTTTTTTTGATTATTTCCGTCACATGAAATTTCATGCATATCTAATTTTAAAACTTATTTTTGAGACTTTTAATGAATATTTTATAATTTTATCATTATTTTCAATTTAAGCTGTTAAAAGTCGTCCAAAAACAAGGTCTTCATTGACTTCATCCTCGGCTACCTCATCCGGTTCCTCTCATTATGGTCAATCAGATAAAGCTGTCTTAACTAACTCAAAATCGACACATGCACCTATTCAAAGTTCGTATGCTAATCAACGAAGGCCTAGTGGTGGGAGTGTTATAATACATAGAAATACGGAAAGTGTTGAGAGAATAACTGCTAGTTCAAATTCAAGATTGCCTCAACCCACAGTAAAGTGAGTTGGGCACTTAAATTCCGGAGATGTTTCCTTAGTCTTGTTGATAACAAATAAAAAATTGGATAAAGTCTTCCTTTAGTTTAATTAAAAAACAATATTTATCGCAATGCACTTATAAGTTAATGTTAATTTGGAAAAAAGATTGTGAACTTATCATCTTTCTCATATGGAGGAAGGAAAAACTACGTATAACTGTGTAAAAAATTAAACGACAAAAATTTTTCCCTAATAAACAAGATACTGATAATGTAAGCGATGCACATCTAGTTCAGTGAATGGGATAATTCTGTTAAGAATAATATAATTTCAAAACGAGTTAACTAGAGTTGGGGAAACTTCAAAGTTTGTAAATAAAGGATTAAATGTTGAGGCTGAATAACGGTAGATCCTCAGAATTGAAAATACAAACAAATGATAAAATAACCCCGAAATATCATCCATGCATTAATTAATGAAATTTAATTCTAATATTTAAAATTTTAGAAGAAGCAATTCTGCACCACGAGGAAAAGAAATATCAAAACCAATTGGAAAAAGCAATTCGAACACGTTTGGAATTTTAAAAATTAACAAACAAATATTTTTTAATTTAGTGGAAAGTCAACTTTCTCCACCCCAAAAAGCGCAGGAATGTCCTCTACCTTACAAGATAATAGATTAGCTAAAAGATTATCAAAACAGCATTTATGATAAGGAAGATTAAGGAAGATACTACTTTTTTTTAAATAATTGATATTTCTTATATAACCAATTTTTGTTTGAAAAATAAAATTAATAAATCAGATTTTATTTAAATTACCTAGTTTAATTGAAAACTTAATTTTTTAAATCCAGAAATCGTGTGGTTCCTTTCGTTTTCTGCCAATTACCAAATAAAACAGAAGAAACCTACTATGCATTTGAAGCTATTTTGGCAGAAATTGATTAGCTAAAAGATTATCAAAACATTTCTGCGAAATTTGATAACATTTGGCGAATTCAGTTCGGAGTTTTTTGTGCGGCTATACTTAAATCCCGCGTTGTATTGTAATGCACTTTTCATTTAATTTCAAAAAAATTTAAGACTGAAACAATTCATTGATTTACTAAAGTGATTGATCTTGTCTTTTTAATCTAATCTTTTTAATAAAATTGCACATGCCAAAATAAATTCACGTGCGAAATTTTTCACGTTTGGATGCACTTATTTGCTTAAATTTAAAGACTTGCTAATGAATGCTCTTGCTAATAAATTACAATGCTCGACAAGTTCCGAACGAGAATGGGCTTGTCTTTTAATTGTAATAAAGACAAACTAACAATTATTGTTTCACCGGAAACGATTTGACCAGAACCGTATCCAATTTGAGTTCCGGAATCAAGCTCACAGAAACAGCTCAAAAAACGCAGAAACCTGCGGAAGCGTTTTTATTTTTTGCGTATTTGTAGTGCAAAACATCATTCTCCGCTCACAAAAAACATTGTAATGTCCTCTACCTGTCCAACATAAAATCGATTAACAAATGATTATCAAAACAGCGTTTATGATAAGGAAAGGAAGAACTTTTATGAAATTTCTTTTCTATTAAATAACTAAATTTTGGTCCCGACCATGACCTCAATTCTCCTATAACAATTTATATTTAGTATTCTTATCATTCTCATTTTTTATTATTATCAACTATCTTTAACATTGCACATTTAATGTTATTCATTTCCTTTCCCATAAATTTCCTTGCCAAATGTTCTTAAACATACAATGTTCATTTAACATTTTTTCCCAGCATTCTCTAAATAATTACTTCACAACATTCCCAGAATGTTCACTTTTAATTTTATACATTTCTTCCGTACCATTTTCCCAATATTTAACTTAAGGTTGAACAACAAATGATTCACTTAAGAGGTATTCATTCGATTAATCCCTACATCCCATAAATTTCCCATTTTCTTTATTTATTACTCGAATATTTACATTGAACCGTTAACTCATTTAATATATATTTGGAAAATGAAATAATTATTTTATCAAATTTATTTTGTTAAAAGGTCCTCTGCGCCTCCTCCCACTCAATCCACAATCCCAGAGCTTCCAGACCGAAAGATCTGAGCGGCATAACTAGAATAATAGATCGTGATCTAATTCGGAAAAGTTTTTTAAGCTAAATCGAATGTATCATAAGTAGATCTCGGACTTAACAATTGGCCGAGATAATTGAAAAAACTTAGGAGTTATAGTATATTGTATATTGGAGTTATAGTTTCATTTAGAAGCCCTTATCAGATTCGTACTCGTACTAGTGATGCTCGGGTATCCCGATCCCGACTCCCGAGGTCATTTCCCGACCCGACTCCCGTTTCCCGATTCCCGGGTTTTTTCTTCTCCCGAGCATCACTAACTCGTACATATTAAAAGTACAAGGACAAAATTTTTTAACAAATATTTTATTTCCTTATCAGACTTATTCGAGCCAATTAAGCATTATATTTTCCTTGTCTTTATAACATCATCGCTATATTTTATTATTAACCCCACTTTGTTAATAAATTGTCAATTATTTTTAATAATTTTTAGTGTATCTTAACTCAGCTAAATTTAAGGAGTTCAATAAATAGTGGAACATAATCGAACTTTTAGGCATATTTTGGGGTTGTTGGTTATTATTATTATACTTTTCGAGTAGATTGGAAATAAAATTATTATCGGAATCCATGACAGCTAGGAGGGATATACAAAGAATAAAAAAACATTTTTATTTTCCAGATGAAAATTCTAGTTTATTTCATTTTGTGTTTAATTAATATTATAACAGCTTATGAACTACATAAACTATCTCCATTTACTATTTTATGGAGAATGGATAACCCAAACCGGATGAAGTTTGGAAGACGTTATGAAATAAAAAATTTAGAAAATGGAATGAGGTATTTTGAAATAAAAATAATTTTTTTCAATGCACTCTTAGATTATAATACTAGACATTTAATTTGTTTATATGGGAAATTATTTAATATTTTTAACGATTTCACCATCGTTATTAATATTACATCATTTTAATAATCAAAAATTTTAATTTTTTAATTTTAAAATTTTAAAACAAAATGCGCAAAAATTTAATTATAATAAAAACACGGGTAGAGTTCCACTTAGGAAATTCTTCTGATATTTGAAAATAAGGAGGATCGGGTACCCGGAACCCTGAATTTTTTGGAATGAAATCCGGCCAAAGGGAAATTTTGCAAGCCGACTTTTTCCACAACCTGGACTATTTCTGACTAAAACCATATCAGTGAAGTAAAATAGAAAAAACATAGGGTGGTAATAGTATTCGCAAATTTAAAATTTCCAAGCATTTGTAGCCATAACTGGCAAGTAAGCAAACCTATAGCTAAACCTTCTCTTATCCCCCAAAAAACAAATTTACTAATAAATCTTATTTTATAGCCAATTATCTCATATTGAAAAAAATATACCTCCTAACATTATTCCTTCTAATTCATTAAATGATGCTTATGTCCGGCTTTGTGTTAGTTTTTTATTTTGAAATAATTTAAAAATTCACTTATTTGTTTAAAGAATGATTTTGATAATACCGACCTTAAAAAAGAATTTCTTCAAAATTTAAATGAAAGTTTAATATTTCAAAAAGCTGGAGAATTATACGAGAATAGAGAAAATTATTTTGTAGTTTATAGAAGATGATGGCCAAAAAAGTTTCATTGATAAAGTTGGGGAACTCTTATTTTCTGAGGAAGAACCGCGTTAGTTTATTAAAAATATTTTAAATAATTATAATTAATATTTAAATTTTTTGAAACGCCCCCCCCCCCCCGACACGAAGTCTCTATACTGTGTTTCATATGTATACGCGCACATAAATTTTTCGATTGTCCATAGATCTTGTTGTTTAGTTCATTCATATATTTTAAAAAATCTAGAAGTTATTTACATCTGTATTAATGAAAGAAAAATCGAAAAATACAGGTGCGCGTATACTTATGAAACACTGTACCATAACAAAACCAGCTCCAAATCGGAGTTCAAACTCCGACTCGAAGTCGAAGTTTTTCACACACCCATTGATGGAAATTCTTTAAATAGTAAAGTGGGTGAGTGTTGAAACTAGAGTTGCACGAGATCGAGATTTTAGAAAAAATCCGAGACCGAGATTGACCGAGACTCGCATGACCGAGACCGAGACCGAGATGCAAAATTTGACCCGAGACCGATATCGAGATCCGAGATAAACCGAGATTTTTCAAAACTTTTTTCATCCACCAAAACCCATTTAAATTAATTAATCATCATCAAAATCATATGTTTCATCAGAATCAATTTCAGTTGGTGGACCAAGCATCAGTTTATCCATATTTGCCTTTACAACTAGAATTTTTCCCACAATTTCTCCAGAAAGACTCAAGTATAAAGGGTAGGGGACACTTGTGTCTCTACGGGGTCGGTTTATTAGAAGCGTGTCACGACACTTGCAGATATGACATTTTGAACCTCCGGAAAAAAGAGAATCTCCGGAAAGAGTGATGCCGTTCGACTTAGCTCGTCGAGACGAATTGGTATGGGTCTGTTATCAAAATCTTTCCACGTGTATACCATACTATATCCTTTGATTTTTTAAGATTTCTAAATTTTTTTTTAATTTAAAATTTTTTTTCAAAAATTAATATCTGCAAAAGTCGGATCTGCAAATGTCTGATCTGCAAGTGTCATATCTGCAAGTGTCGGTATCTGCAAATGTGAAGCCCCAACTTTTGGATTTTTCTTCGTGTTCAAGGTTGGGGTTGGGTTCCGTAAGTCGGGGTTCCATAAGGCCGTGCTTCGCTGCGGTCGTATTCGCTTCGATCGCGGCGACCGTAGCGAAGCGGCGGCCGTAGTTCCGCTCGACATGCCCGGCTTCCTCCACACAGGCAAAAACTTTTTTCCGCGAAGGTTGATGTGTATTCGGCCGCGCCTATTTGTCCTGCTCCGCTCTCTAGACAACTAAATTAAAGTGAGCACAACAATACATATATGTACCAATAGCGAAATTTTAAATATTTTGTCAAAATAAAAATAAATCTCAAGAAGTTCAATCTTTAGGGGTGTATACTGATCTCGGATCTCGGCGAGATTAAGTGCCGAGAATCTCGTCTCGGTTAAGTGGTCTCGTCTCGGCAAAACCGAGACCGAGATTGGAAAATGACCGAGATTCTCGTCTCGGTCTCGGTCGTGATATCGATCTCGTGCAACTCTAGTTGAAACTAAATTTCAAATACCTAATTCCGGCGTAAGTCATGAAACCCGAATAATTCTGTAAATTTTTAATTTAATTTCAAAAAATTTAAATCATTTAAGAATTCTATTCCTTATTTTGCCAATTCACACAAGAGAAGGGAAACTGGCATTCTTTTATACGTGAACAGCCACATATGAAAATTATTTCGTTAAAGCTCATAAACAACAATGTATCATCCTTTTAAAATAAATTATGAGAGATGAGAGAGCCTTTTTAGCTTTTTCCAGTTTTTTCACGGTTCAAGCTTTTAGGCGTGATACATTCGCAACATGGGAAAATTTTTCTTTGACATTTTTTTGACATTTCCAAATATTTCTTATACAAAACGATAGCTCTGAATGTGCTTATTATTGTTATAAGATCCGGTCATCTCCTAGTTACGTACAGTTACGATCATCTTGATCAGCCTTTATTCTTATA